TCATCGTTGACCAGCCTGGTATCTCACAACAGTTTCCTGAACTTGGAAATCCACAAGCGGTATGTGGTCGCTGAGAAGTTATCAATATACTCATTAATTTTATGACTTGAGAAGACTTAAGTCCACTACTCCTTCAGACTTTAAAACAGCTACTCACGAAGAATAAAGTAAACGGCATTATCAAAGCAATAGACGCTTGGGTAACGAGGAAGCCGATTATGCATTAAACATAACAAGTAACGGATGGCAAAGCAAATCACCAAATGATACCCAATTCAAAGGCATGAGAATACAAAAGAGGCGGTCAGCGAGGCCGCATAATCTGTTAGAACATCTGTTTGCTCAAAATTGAAAAGAACAGAGGAGCCGCTAGCTGCATTAAGGGTGAGAAGAAACACCACAGTGAAACAATATTTACTCAAAGTATCAAATTATTCCATCAATGAAACGCAACCAAAAGACTAATAAGCATTTTTTGTCAAAAACGCATAATACATGGCTGCTATTTTAATTTTTCGGTTTGTCGACTTTTCATATTTATTTCGATCAGAAGAAGGTCAATTAGTAAGCGGAAAAACTATTTTCCGACGTTATTTCCCGAAAAAGGTATTCTCCCAATCAAAGATTCTTCCAAATAGAAAAGTATACGAGAAACATCAATTTTTACTTAAAGCCTTCTTTAATGTGTTCCAATGCAAGTTTTTTCTGGTTCAGGTAGAAAAGCTCGAAGTGACGACACCCTTGCTCTGGGAAATTGAAGCCAGAAGCTCTAGAGAGGAAGATGCATCATGCGAGAATCGGTGCTTGTCGTGCTGTGCTCACTTCTTCTCATTCGACTCCAACGAACTTGAGCAGGAGGATGAATTTGGTGAGAGAAGAAACATACGAGAACGGTACGACTTCGATGCCATGCGATACTACTAAATTCATGCACTCAACTGCTCTAATTTTTCCAAATGAGTTGCGATAAAGTTTTATTGTTTTTGAAAAAGAGATGAAAGCTGTGCAAGAAAGAGAATCAGTCGGTACAGTTTTGACAAAGAGAAGGATAAATCCCTTTTGTATTCGCTCTGAATAAGAGGCTGATGCTCTCGGCAAATATTCCGAGTGGTAGCAAATGCCAGCAACCATTTATTAGTAAGGCTGACAACGGCTCCCTTTTGAAGGTTGCTTGCAAGCAAGCTAATGAGAGTTTGACACCCTGGCATTTCCCAGTACCAATTTACCATCAGAGCAAATGAACGATTGCTGTAAAGTTGAACAATTTGTCTGTAAGCGCACAAAGATTTCCGTTCACTTTAAAAATCTCAAAGAATTTTAACTCTCAAGAAATTAACCAGAGAGCAGAAGACGACGAGGACAAATAAACGCTTACGGATTTAAGGCTTTCTAAATGTCTTATAGTTTATATGGATAATATCTCATACCTTTGTTTTCTAGCTTCTGAAAAATTCACGCTGATTTATAAAATATAATCAAAGACTGAAGTTCCAAAAATTCAGTTTTTGCTGCTTTCATCTTGATTTATGATTATTTAAATTTCACAATTAAAAAATGGGACACCGAAAATTTATTCGCAATTCCCAACTCAATTTGAGTTTTGTTAGTAATTTGAGTTTTTGAAAAAAATTAGAATCAAAAAAGTTCTCGATTTAAATCAAATTAATCTTAAAGTATTACTTGAAATCCCAAAGAACAGATAAGGCTATGGATCTAAAATTTTACAGGAATATTCTACGCCTATGCATGAGTTAAATATTTTCTATTCAAATTTGAGAAACATCCCTTTGATTCTCGACTGCACGATTCCATTTTGAGATCACTTATTTCTGCTGGGAGCGGATCATTTATTTGTTCTTGAGCTGTGGCAGTGCAAAAGCACCCAAATAGTAAGAAGGTTTGAATTTCAAATAAAAAAATTGCCCCGCTTTGAATAAGGAATCCACGGAACTAAGATTATATTTACTTGGTAGTATGAATTATTACTATCTCATGATTGGCCAAAAAAAATTTTTTTTCACGGCAGTTCCTCCAAAATTCCAATATTACCAGCTGCTGGCATGTTTTGCTTTGATAGAACCAAACTTTATAATCCAAGCAACGAACCTCTTGCTTAGTGCCGCAGTCGGCATGATTTTTTTGACATAGCACAATGATCATGAAATCCAACATCCACTGAGTATAAAATCAATCAGGAATATTAAATAGGTGCCTGCGATCGTCCATTCAGTTTGATATAGAACAGCTTTTGGGCTGAGAATATTTTCAACAGCAGTTATGGTTTTCATTGGCTAGGTGCTTCAGGATTCCGGGTTCAAGGACCCAAAAATGGTATTTTCCAGCAAGTTCAGGAAAATATCTGTGAAGTTTTCAGCTTGGAAATTCCTTGAATATGATTAGATTTATTGGAATTGCTTTGGCTATCTGGATTGGATGTGCCTCTGGTAGATGGGCATCCACAACTGTCAGACCCTCAATCATCACTGACCAGCCAAGCAACTTGCAGCAATTTCCTAAACTTGAGAATCCTCAAATAGTATGCATTCTCTGAGCAGTTGCCTATACGTTTATTAATTTCTATGTTTCAAAAAAAAGACCGAGATTCACAATTTGCACTGATTTCAAAACAGCTATCTCATGTGGCGCAATGTGAGCTGATTATGCAGCGAGAATGAGAAACAACAGACTGCAAAGAGATTACTG